CTGTCTTGGGGTTCCCGTCGATATCCAGATACCCACCCAACTCTACAGCATTGTTTTGGCACTGAGTTGGTTCGCCTCCTGGCCCAAATACTGTAGCAGCCCACCCAATACTCAACACCATTGTTGTATTGTAGCAGCAATACTGTAGCAGCGCATTCAATAACCAGAACATTGGAATTCTAGCTCCTTTATTGGGCAAGTAAGAGTGTGGTGGGTGTGCCGAAACGGGTGCGGCGGTGCCAGGCGAACGCAGCCATTTGGGCTTCCCGTGGAGCTCAGTATGAGGCCACGGAGCGTTTGAGGGGTGTGCCGAAACGGGTGCGGCGGTGCCATGCGAACGCGGCCATTGAGGCCATCGGTGGAGCTCATTTTGAGGTCACGGAGCGTGATGGGTGTGCCGAAATGGGTGCGGCGGTGCCACAGCCATTGGGGCTTGGTGTGGAGCTCCCTATTGGGCCACTGCACCTTCTAGGGATATGCCGAGACGGGTGCGGAGGTGCCATGCGAACGCAGCCGTTGTGGTATTCGGTTGAGCTCCTTCTGAGCCACGAGTTGTTTGAGGGGTGTGCCGAAATGGGTGCGGCGGTGCCATGCGAACATTGCAACTGAAGCTCCCTACTGGGCCACGGAACGTGTGATGGTTGTGCCGAAATCGGTGCGGCGGTGCCGTGCGAACGCAGCCATTGGGGCCTTCGGTGGAGTTTCTTGTGAGGCCACGGAACGTGAAGGGTGTGTCGACTTGGGTGCGGTGGTGCAAAGCGAACGCAGATGATGCTGATGATGATGATGATGATGATGATGATGATAGTGATGATTCTGGTAATGCTGCTGCTGATGATGCTGATGATGGTGATGATGACGACGACGATGATGCTGATGATGATGATGATGATGCTGATGCTGATGATGATGATGACAATGATAATGAGGAAACTGACGATGCTGATGAAGACACAAGCGCCGATTAAGTACTTTGTGCAGCCGTTATTGCTCAAGCGGGTTCAAGCGCCCTCTAATTGAGGCTGCTCAGGCTCGTGATTGCCACGGCCAATCAGGCGGGGAAGAAAACCCTCTCTTGAATTGGGTAACATCCACCCCCATCCATGACCGTCAAACATGGCTGGTGGATCTGAGTGTGAAAGGATGTGGGCGGCCAGATCAGGTACGTGACCAAGCCCGCTCTTGTGCTGTAGATGTGGCAGACATTTGCGAAATATAAACATGTAAGTTGGGGTGCTCAGACGCCTGACCATCCGAGCCAGACCAGAAGGGCAGCTCCACTGTCTGAACAGAGGGTACGGGGGGCGGCGTTTTGGGTTCGCTCCTTCTCGCTTTCAATTCCCTGCAACCCGCAGCATTTCTCCCCCTTGCTCTGGTCAGGAGACTGCCTGGCTGCATTTGGGAATGCCCGCAGGCAAGTTCTACCCACGTAATGTTATCCCGCATTTCTGCGTAGTCGCTCCCCCCTCCCCCCTGCACGGGGGTTCACCTACAGTCGGCCCGGATTAGTAGGTCGACCCTGCCAGCTCAAGGGTACCCTTGTGTCCTGTGCCTCGCGACACGTGCCTTCTTACACTCCTATGGCGATGAGGCCCTCGGAAAGGTCATGTGTCCTCTCGCGTGTCCTGTCCAATCAAGGCCGACTGTAAGAGTGGGTGGCGCTTCTCGAATGGTCCTTAATTTTGGGGCAAATTGGGGCCTATTTGGGGGTCGATCTGCGATTCAGTTTAGGATCGGCGGCGTGGCGGGGGCCCATCCGCTTGCGACTAAGTTCAGGAACGCGGAGCACTTCTGTTTGCCAGCCGAGGACGCCTGGGACTTCCCCTTGCGACCTGGAGCTGCCATGGCCGGCTTCTGCAGCCCGTCTCCCGTGGCCGGGAGGGGGAAATCGAAGGATCAGCACATTGCACAGGCAGAGTTGGTCGGAGGTCGCGCGGATTTCTCGGATCGGCGCTGGCGCACCCTGACGGCGCTTGAGGGGGGTCCAGCGCCGATAGGGGGCCACAGGCGAACCTTACCCCTACCCCCCACGATTTCTGAGGGGGAGAGAGGGGTTCACTCCGCTCGGGAGCTCCCGAGCGAAGTGAAGCCCACCCTCCCCCTCAGAAATCGTGGGGGTAGGGGTGGGGTTCGCATGTGGCCACCTAGCCGATGCCAGGGATTCGCGCGTGCCTCCAACAGTTTCTGCTTGTGCCCGCTGGTTCTTCTGGGACACCGCGCACCTCCACCGCTGGGCACCGACGCGTGCCCATCTCTGAGCTAGACAAGTGTCGGGGGCAGCGATAGGGGGGGATAGGCACAGGGGGGATGCATCGACCCCCAGTCGCCCATTGATCTCACCATCGGGGGCCTATTGGCGATCGATCGGCGAAGGTGTCGCCCATTCCAGGTCGATGTAGTCCCCTCTGTGCCGATGGCCTCTTGGCCATGGCCGGCAGCCGACATGAGGTATAGGCTGTCGCCATGGCGACCCCAGAGGAGGAGGAGGAGGAGGAGGAGG